TCTGGACTTGTTCTAGCTGCTCCAGGTCCTTTACGGTTGGTAAAGACTAACAGACACTTCCAAGGTGCAGTTCAGCCTGATTTAGATGCTTACATTAGGCTGAGGTCAATCATGCCCAAGATTTGCTCTTAATATGTAAGAGCCAACTCAGAGGCAGAAACCCACACTGTAAATATTTTCATCAGATGAATCCTGCTCCATTTGATTATCAAGAAAGTCTACATAGTTGGAAGAATTTCAAGATGATGTAACATGTTTTGATACCTAATCCATCACATCTGAAAATCTCTGCTTCCTTACAGGTCTACGGGAAATATTGATGGTCATTTATCTTAATACTATGCAAAGCAATTGGTTTACTTGTTTCTAATTATTCAGATCTGAATTATTAGCAAAGCAAATTTCTGCCTATTGAATCCAAACATAATTGATGCACCAGAAAGCTTCTGCTCTAAGCTCCATTCCTATAACAACCTTTGCTTCCTAAAATCATCATGAAAATTATAGTGGCCTTTGAAAGGAAGAATTCACGCAAAGCAACCCCCAGTGCTTTTTAAGACAAAGGTTGAGGGCAACCTCAGAAAAAAGTGAGGTTAAGATTCAACTGTGGCTGGCACAGGCTGGAGTTTAGTTTTGGCTGTTAGATGAGAAGAAAGGGCAGAACTTGTTTATTTATTCCACCCCTTGGTTTAAACAGCAACGTGACAAGTTATGCAAAGGGGACCAGTTTATTCTCATAGAGATGCAGGTTGGAAGAGTTCATCTGTGATGTTTTGGTCTTGGAGGATAGGATGGGGGGGGGACAGAAAGGTTACGCATCCTGACTACATAAACATCTCTTTGGCTCTTTAATGGGGCAGCAGAAGCGCTTGGCACAGAGGCAGCAGTGAGCTTCACCTTCTCAGCTGGAGGAGCAGCCCACAATCACTGCCATCACGGAGCACAACGGCTTATTAAAGGAATAAAGGCAAAACTCTACTTGATTTCTAGAGTGGAGGGGCAGGAAATCCTCCTGACCTTGTCAAGACTTTAGTCATCTTAATGGGTCTACCACAGAGAAAAGCTCTGCTTGAACAGCGGAGGGGTGCTGCTCCTGAGGGACGAGTTCAAAAACACCAGCTCAGAAACATTAATAAAAACATTTCCTACTGATTCTTCATCAGAGCTTAAAAGCAACAGCGTACTGCAGAGAATACTGGCAAAATCTGTACTCCTATACCAGAAAATACACATGTGCTCATTTCTCTAGACTGGTAACTGAGAATTTCTTAGAGAATGGATTAATTTATTAAGAAAACCAGTTTCTGGCATAAGTAGACCCCATAAAGAGGGCTTAATGCTTATTTTTAATCTCCTGGAAGATTGTACAAATGAACAAAATGAGGTTAATCACCAAGGAAAACTGTCAATGAAGTAATACATCTTTTGTTAAATATTAATTATATTTAATTTTTCCCCATCACTGAATTTACAAGGTTCTCCTGAATCGAGGATTAATTCAGAGGTTTTTATTTATTCTCTGCTGTGAATGGATCACTTCTCAGTGGAGAGTGAATGAATTTATTCTCTATCAGCTTTCTGCTTGAAAAGAAAATCCTTCCTAAAAGAAAAGGCAATCTTTGCCAGAGAAATCCAGACCAAGTGAAACATTTCATTGTTCAGGCTGTTAGATCTTAATGAGTTCTGCATCTAAGCACTTGGGATTTTTTTTTCCCACCTGATCCAGCAGTAGTATAGCAGTTTATGCTCTTAAATGCACAAGACTTGTTTGGGGAGAAGATTTGTATTAAAGGAAGGCAGCATGTTCCATAGTTTTAGTATAACATCTGTTATTATCATTCAGTGCTACTCTTAGCCCAGCATGCCCTTCCTCTAAATATCTTATTAATTAAACTGGCTTAGCAGGAAAATAATTAATACTTTGTCTTGTACCTACTTAGAAAGGATTTGGAAACTGAAAAAAATTGTTTTAGTCTGAGCTTCAAACTGCAGGGTTGGATTTGGTTTTTTGGTTGTTTTTTTTTTCATTCTTGAGCAGAAAATAACTAAAACTAAAAGGGTGCATCTGAAAAAACCTATGTCTTCCAAAAATATATTCTGCAAGACTGCAAAAATGGTCCATGACTTCGAGAAGTCTTGGTCAACACTTGAATGTCTTGCCTAGCAGTTGTTTTGGGAAAGACACTCCTGAGCTTCTTCAGAATGCCCTGCTAGCCCTCTATAGCAGTTGGTCCCCCAAAAACCTTAACTCCAATCCACAAAATTACTATTTTTCTTACCACCACTTTAATAATGTGATGGGACGTCCTGGTCATGAAGTCAGTAGTGATGCTGCTACCTTGCATAGCTGGTTGTTGAATAGGCAGGAGGATGAGGCGGCGAACGTGGGTAGGAATTAGTGAATTTGTGTGTAAAATGTGGATCTGTTACTTAGCTGTTGAAGGTGAAGTGCAGAAATAGCAGTGTTTGTCTGTGTCTTTGTTTTGTGAGCAGTGTTGCTGTCTATATGCAGAAACTGCTGCTTTGCTACTCTTTCACCCAACTTGGTTTCCCACGGAAGAAGCAGCTCAGACAGGCTGGGTGCTGTTTGCTACTTACACTAACAGAAAATTACACTTTCCAGACCTATTGTAAAAGGTGTTGGGTGCTGCCAAATTGCTCTTTAAAATCAAGCAGGGTTTTAGCAATTTCTTTGGTGGGAGAAAGCTCAGGAATTATCTGTGGCTTGTTCTGGCTTTTTTTGGAGAGGCTGAGAGCTGCTGCTCTTAAGGAGGACGAGGAAGAAGTTCTAAATACCATACCAGAACAAGACCCCTTCGGTGCAGGGAAAAGGCAGGTTGGGGAGCAGTCTTCAACGTGACTCCACAGTCTGATTGTTGGATATTTCTTTTCAAAAGCACATTAGAAACTTAGAAATCAAAGTTTCATTGAAAGTCAGTGAGATGCCTAAAGCACTTCTTCAGATGCAGCCGTGGCACTCTGGAAAATGCTGTAGCTGTTAGGTGAACAGCCTCAGAAATAAAGGCTGGATGATGGGTATGGGGTCTTGTGCTTCAGCAAAGGGACCTGCCATTAATTCTGGTTGATGGGCTGCATCAAGAGAAGCGTGTCCAGCAGGTGGAGGGAGGTGATTCTCCCCTCGTAAGGCCCCACCTGGAGTGCTGCCTCCAGTTCTGGAGCCCCCATCACAAGAGAGACCTGGAGCAGCTAGAACAAGTCCAGAGGAGGCCACCAGGATGATGCGAGGGCTGGAGCAGCTCTGCTGTGAGGACAGGCTGAGAGAGTTGGGGCTGTTCAGCCTGGAGAAGAGAAGGCTCCGGGGAGATCTTATAGCGGCCTCCCAGTACCTGAAGGGGCTACAAGAAATCTGGGGAGGGACTTTTCATAAGGGCAGTTAATGACAAAGCAAGGGGAAATGGGTTTAAGCTGGAAGAGGAGAGGTTTAGATGAGGTATTAGTAAGAAGTTCTTCACTGTGAGGGTGGTGAGACACTGGAACAGGTTGCCCAAGGAAGTTGTGGCTGCTCCTCCCTGGAGGTGTTGAAGGCCAGGCTGGATGAGGCTTTGAGCAACCTGGTCTAGTGGAAGGTGTCCCCGCTGATGGCGGTGGGTTGGAACTGGATGATCGTTAAGAGCCCTTCCAACCCAAACCATTCCATTATTCTATGATTCTATGCTGAAGTTCAAAGGGTGTGTTTAGGGGAGACCAGAGTTTTTATTTGCTACTGGGTGTACCTCCTGACCTTCTTTATCCTGAAGAGTACAGTTCAAAACTGATTTTTAAAAATGGGGAAACCTAAATTTAACATCTGGAAAAGAGTTGAAGCAGAGCTGGCCTTGTTCACACTAAGCCAGACATATCTGACAGCAAATCAGTCACAATGAGTGCGGTGTGTCAGCATAAGCACAGCTCATTCACCAAATATACCATGGCCCCTGTGGGAACAGCCAGTGTGTGTAGCGCTGCCAGAAAAAATTACATCCTTGTGTTTTCAGGGATGGAGAGAGGGTTTTGGAGTCTCTTTTGCTTTAAATCTGCCTTGAGCAGACCGGAGATGCTAAGTCCCAGTTCATTTGTGTGTGTGTATGTGTGTGCTGGGTCTGAGAGGGGAGCATATGGCAGAAGCGATTCGCCCTTGACTGTGCCTCTTTTTTTGGCATGCACAGGCTTGTTTCTCACGGAGCGCGTGCACATCGCTCCTTGCACATCGCTTCTTGCGCCCCTTGCTTGCTGCCTTTCAGGTCTTTGCCTGAATGCATGTCCTTTGTGGTGTTTTGGTTAATTAGACATTGTTTTAATTACTACTGAGCTAAACAAACATGAAATTTCTATCTGTCATTTTGCCGCCCCAGTGACCACCGTCTCCAAGCAGCCAATACAGGACTCGGGCTGTTCAGACCTGGTGTTAATTGCCATGGCTGTCATGGAGGTTCACTCATTTACACCTTCCTGGGAGGAAAACACCCCTCCAGGGAGGAAAAGGCTCTACTAAACAGCTCATTTTTCTCACTGTCCCAAACACCTTGATCTGCTGTCAGTGAAGTTAGTGGCAAACAAGCCTTGGCTTCAGGGCAGCAGAGGTGCCAGTCCCCTTCTGTGGCCTGGGGACAGTCCATGGCCATGTCTTTCACTGGCACGATCCTTTGCATTACGTCCTTTCTTACTTTTCCTTCTCCAGCTTCTGCACTAATTGCCTTTTTCTCCCTCTGCTCTCTCTAATTCTCCACAGCAATGCTTGGGTCATGTCAAAATGAAGCAATGGGAGTGCAGGCCTGCCCTCAAATTGGTCAGTCTATAACCATGTCTGTCAATAAACGGCCATGCTACAGCAGCAGGCAGATTCTCAGGACTGACAGTAGCCTTTATGTTGAGACACTAATTTGCCACTGACTTGATGAGGAGAAAAAACATTTTTTAAATGCCTTAAAAGACATAGAGCTTTTAAAAACAATCATTTCCCTTCTTTTCCCTTTATATTGACCCTTCTCCTTTGCTTACAGCTTTGGAAAGAAAAATATCAATGAGGCAGAGCAGAGAGGAGCTTATAAAACGAGGAGTGCTGAAAGAAATTTTCGATAAAGGTAAGTGTTCTTCTTTTCACAACATTAAATTGACTTCCCATATAGTTTTATGGCCAGATATTACATTACTGTAGCATTTAAGAACTGGGAATACAGTCCTGAATTGTAGAACTGTGCAGAATAAGGTCTCCAAACACCTTGTTTGATTTCACCACGGGCTCGCCCTCTCTATTGGATAAACATGATAGCTATTTAGCAAATAAAACTGAAAGCTAATCAGAATTATAAAGCAGTAGAAATATAAATCATGGCAGCGTGCAAGAGCCAGTCGCTGCAAACCAGCGAGGCATCCAGACTGCGGGGAGATGGAGTGAGTCCCTGCCTGTGTGTATTGTCGTTGTCTGGTTGAGTCACTCTGGGATTAACTGTTGTGGAAAAGGGAAATGTTTAAAGATTTGGGATAGTGATGAGCACAGAACGGTGCACATTCCCTTGAAATAGCTCAGAAGACATAATAATAATAATTCCTTGTTCAGGATAATTAATTTGTTGAGTTGCTAATGTGTTATTTGTGCCAAACACCACTGTTTTACAAACACCGTTGTTTTACACTGGTAATGCAACACCTATTTGACATCTATTACATCTTTGTCAATCTTTAACTGCAGCTTTTACTTGTTTTGCTGCTTCCCTTGTCAATAACTAAGGGAATTAATTCAGCAAATTATATAAAGACATGCCAAAGTTGCCTCTTAATTTCAATACAACTTATGCCTGTGCTTTAAAGCACAAAGTGCTTTAAAGTGTTGGTTTTATCATATCTTTTGTGTTGAAGAAAAACAGAATTAGCAAGTTTGTTCACCTGCTGTATAAAATGATACCCTGACCTGTTTGCTTCAGGATTTTCTGGCTTTTCAGAGGATTTTGTGTCATCCAGCAGGTGAAAGTTAGAGCTAGAGCACAGTATGTCATGTTGTTCATACATGGCAGTCACTGCAGTCCAGCTGCTGTCATTGGGAAACAAGAAATGCTTTTATCACTTCAGTGACCCCCACACTTAAAACTAGTCAAGTGAAACCAGTCCAGACGGGACTGCACAGAGCTCTTTTCTTGGCAAGGGCCAATCTCATGACCAAATCAGTTTCTGTCTTCCTCCATTTCCAAGGCTCGGTGACTTGAGTCTTCTGAAAATGTAGGCAAAGGTGGTAATTTTTTTTCAAATACTGGGTACTTTTGGAAAAATAGTAAGTTGGAGAAGTATCTGATGAGGCACCTGCTGTTCTAATAGTTTGTGGGCAGGCAGTGCTGAGAGGTTAAAAATACAGCTTCCACCTGCAACTCAGAACATTAGGAGAGCATTTAGAAGATCTCACATTTTTTGCTATACCACATAGATAAAGAGCTTTGATTTTCATGAAGGTGTAACCATCCCAGAAGCATCTGTCTTTAGAATTGCCCACTGTTCCATGGTGCCAGTCAAAGAATTAAATCTACTTGTATTTCAATACTTCTTTTTTTATCTGAACATAGCTTCAGATAAAACATGACTGCCTGTAGTGAGAAATTTATGAATGCGAGCATCTACTGGTTGCTTGCTTCAGAGATGATGGTGCAATGGTTCTGCAAGGAAGCATGGGCAGTCTTCATCTTTTATACTTTTGTATTTTTGTACTCTCTAATAAAAATGATTAATTTAGACCCAAATTTCAGGTTACCTAAATCCTGGCAGGATTTGAAAGTGTTGCAGTTATATGCGAAAGCAGATTTTTGTGGCAGTGTGTGAGGCCCCACCTGGAGTATTGTGTCCAGTTCTGGGCTCCCCAGTACAGGAAGGACATGAAATTCCTGGAGCGTGTCCAACGAAGGGTGACTGAGATGATTAGAGGACTGGAGCATCTTCCATATGGGGAAAGGCAGAGGGAGCTGGGCCTGTTCAGCCTGGAGAAAAGATGACTCAGAGGGGATCTGATTAATGTTCATAAATATCTAATGGGACAGTGTCTAAAGGATGGAGCCAGACTCTTCCCATTGGCACCCAGCAATAGGATGAGAGGCAACGGGCACAAACTGCAGCATAGGAAGTTCCACCTGAACATAAGGAAGAGCTTCTTCACTGTGAGGTGACTGAGCACTGGAACAGGTTGCTCAGAGAGGTTGTGGAATCTCCCTCCCTGGAGATATTGAAAAACCATCTGGACAAAACCCTGGTTCATGTGCTCTAGGAGTCTGTGGTTGGACTAGATGATCTTCAGAGGTCCCTTCCAACCATAACCCATCTGTGATATGTAATAATTGTATTACCGGGATTCTTTTCATTTGTATGTCAGCTAAACAGAATAGCTTTTAGTACTTTAAAAATAATAAAGAATTTGCCTTTTGTATCTGGTTGTCAGGCATGTCTCTGATCCAGGATTAATTCACGCTAAGATAGTCTTCACTCTACAAATTATTTTACCCACGTCTTTGATGTGTGTCTGTACTTCAGCAGCTCCCCATGTAGCTTTTCTTTAAGCAAGATCTGATTTAGGGTGTGCATTTCCACCATGATTGCGTTTTGTATCTGATTACTTCAGTCAGATCCAAGGACAAGTTTTAGAGTCCAAATGAAGATTGGAGATATTCAGAGGGAAGATTAAAAGAGGTTATGCTGTGAGTACAGAAAGCTGTCATGCTTGTTGTTATGACAAAAAGGAAAAGCCAATATTTTATCTCATGTTTTACTTCTGTAGTCGTAAACCTTCAACGGGTCATTGGAATCATGCTGAATATACCTTGAGAAGTGCAAGGTGCACTTAAGGCAGTAAGATTTCAAGGTGCTCAGCATGTTACGATGGGCATCCTGCTTCATTAAAAATATGCAGACATCCCTCCAAAACCTAAATGCTACTGATTTTATCACTCATACCTTTTGTCTGCTTATAGTTACAGTCAAATTCAGTCCTGCACTGAATTAATGAATATTGCTGGACACAATCACTTCATAGAATCATAGAATGGTTAGGATTGGAAGGGACCTTAAAGATCATCCAGTTCCAACCCACCGCCATCAGCAGGGACCCCTTCCACTAGACCAGGTTGCTCAAAGCCTCATCCAGCCTGGCCTTCAACACTTCCAGGGAGGGGGCATCTACAACTTCCTTGGGCAACCTGTTCCAGTGTCTGACCACCCTCACAGTGAAGAACTTCTTCCTAATATCTAATCTAAACCTCCCCTCTTCCAGCTTAAACCCATTTCCCCTTGTTTTGTCATTAACTACCCTTATGAAAAGTCCTTCCCCAGCTTTCTTGTAGCCCCTTCAGGTACTGGGAGGCCGCTATGAGATCTCCCCAGAGCTTTCTCTTCTCCAGGCTGAACAGCCCCAACTCTCTCAGCCTGTCTTCTTCCTTTTATTAAGTGATGGTTTTTTATTAAGAAACAGTTGCTCTGTGTAAGAAATAGTTATGCTCTTTCAGAAACCAGGTAACTGAGAAAACAGCAGCCCCTATCCCAAACACGTGTAACAGTGTGTGTTTATGAGAGAGAGAGAGCACAGGATACGTAGCATTTCCACCCAGACAGACAGACAGTTGAAAAACACTTAAATACTGGCTGAACTGTTGTTTGATTTTTGCTGCCTAGGGAAATAAAAGGGGGTTGTATTGAATGACCACAGCAGTTAGGAGACTGTGCTGCGAACAATTGGCCAAAACCTTCAGTTTTGATTAATGTTGCCACCTTTTAGCCAGCTCAGTTGATTACTCTGAAAGCCGTGGGTCATGTTTCAGTCTAGTATGAGGTGGCTGTGTACTGTAATAGCTCTCTAGGTCTTCAAAAAGCCTCCAACAAAAACAAGCAAGTCAAGACCTTGGTATTTCTAATAATTCCAAAGTAAGCAGGAGACCATCTTCACTCACTGTAGAGAAGCTTTAAAAGGTAGAAACATCATCCTGAATAGTTATCAGCTAACGTGCTTTCAGACTTGTTAATTGCTGTGTCCTGACGCTTAAGTGAGACTTAATTTTTTTTTTCTCTTTTCAGTATTATTTTCCAAAGTGTTATGCACATCTTAGCCCTGTGAGGGGAAAATGTGCGCTCATGTGAATGATGTGCATCTCTGCTCGGTACATTGCGCAGTAATATGGCTAATCAGAGGTGCCCAGAAATCAAGAACCAGATCCTGAAATCCTGAGTTTGACTTAAAAAAAGAATTTAAATGCATAATAAAATGAGGCTCCATTTATTTTCCTGCTGGTTTTTAGGTTTTTTACAGGTCACATTCCAGTTATATTTTCAGGCTTCCACTTGTAACCATAGGGGCTGAACACTTTCCTTTATAAAACTGTAGTTGAGATATCCATGTAGTCATTGCCTCCAGCTACCAGAGAGCTGTGCCTAACAAGTGCTGAGATAAAAATCATGCGGGTTGACACCATAGAGAATTATCTGATCCCTGGCTTCTGTTCTTTATTATTTCTAATGTGAAGTGTCATTTGATAGGAAAGAAACTACCAGCTGCTGTTACAGAAATTTTGCTCGGATAGAGAAGATATTATTAGTAACTTCAAAAATAGGCTTTCTAAAGAGAATCTGCTATATCCCACTGTCAAGACCTTACACCAGGCGACTATAAAAATTATTCTCTCCCTTACTTAAACTCTTGATGCTGGGAGCTGTAGTGTTTTTATTTGTGTGTAAAATAGGGACATAGTTCTGTGATTTTGCTTGTGTCCCTTGTAGCATAAAAATTGGTGTAAGGGAAGAAGAATTCTTGTTGTTGTTATTATTATTATTTTTTTAAATATTATAAATTATATACTGTCTATATTAGTATTCTTTAAGAAAACTCCATAGCTGCAGTTCCCGCCCATTCTCATTCCTGGCTTCCCAGCTTCAACAGAGACAGAAGGAAAACAGATTTTGTGGCCCTGGATGGTGCTACATGGCCCTATGGATGGAGGATGGTCAGGAATTACCCAGCTTAGACCATGGATCATAATGACTGTCCTAGGGTAAGCAAAGGATCAATACAGATATTTGGCAGATCTTTCCCAAATCTTAATAACCACTTAAGGCAGGTGGAATGCTGTCTGATTTCTGTGAAACTGTTATGGACAGAACACCACAGTCAGACATCTCCAAAAATTGCTCTGCACAAGTTGTATTTTTGAGATACAAAGCCATATTGTTTTGATCCTTTTCCCTGTGTCTTCTCTATACATACAAGATCTCAATTCAGGCTCCTCATTTCCAAGCAAGCTAATGGAGATAGCAGATTTAATTAAAAATTCTTTCTGCATCTTATTTATGTGTCTTCTGTTGTCATTCTGCTTTCCTCCAACTATGAACAGATGGGGAACTTTCCATACCAAATGAAGAAGGAGCTTTGGAGAATGGGCAGCCTCTGGGCTCCGGGCAAGTGCTGAGCTCCAGCCAGGTATCCCTGCCAGCCCTAGCAGAACTGGAGTCAGGTCCAGCACCTGGGGAACCCTGCTCATACGAGGTGCTCCCAACCACAGAGATCATGGATGGAACAGGTAATGTTTTACATTATGATGTAGATACTCTAAGCTGTTTGAAACAAGTTTCTGACTTCTAACAGTGTCTAGCCCTGAGAAATCCTTGTTGAAGACCAAGGTCTTCTGGTGGAGAAGGAGGTGACAGCATACAGATTGTCACTGGATGCTCAGTGTGGAAGTAACCTCTACTTCTACACAAGTAACCTGCACTTTGTCAACATTTAACAGTAGATTTCAAACTCTCTGGATACATCTCAGCTGTACCAATGAACTCTAGAGCAGAAAGCTGACAACATTTTTAAACCCTAGGGTACAACATCATGCCCTTTACCTGCTGTGTGGTGTTGGGTGATGTTCACACCACACAGCTTTCAGTAGCTAACACTGCCAGGTGCCCTACCCTAGGTGAGGCTCTCTGTGCTTCTTCCCCAACCCGTGCAGAGAGATGGCAATGCTGTACATCTAGGTTAGCTCCTCTTTCTGCATCACTTAATGCCAAGAGTTGTGAGTGGAGGTCAAGTGCGGAAAAGCGACTGGTAGAAGCATTCATCCATGATATTGCACAGCTGTGTGGCCTCTTTGAAATGGAGTAGGCCCCGTGAGGTGCTTTTACATTTATAGGATAATTTAGAGACCACCTGCTAACATATCTGGTCCTGAGCAAGCTGTGGTGACAGACCATCTGAGATGTGACATTTTAAGACTCTTGATTTGTGTTCAAGATTTGGGAATACATCCCAGCTTGGCATGAGGGAGCTGGCTTCTGCCAGAGGTAATGGGAAATTCAGCTGTTGTGTAGATGTGTGTTACTCTTCCTCTCTCTGTTTTTCTCTCTTTCTCTTCTCTCTCTTCTCCTTTCTATGTTATATGATGTTTGAGTGATATCTATTAATTGTTCTTAATCTGCCTTGCTGTGCTGCTTTTCTTGTCTTACTACGGCTGTATCCGCTGCTGCTTTGCTCGTAACGTTGTTGCGTCTATGATGTGGTTGTGTCCTCCAGTGTCTGAAGAGAGCCCCACATCCAATGATTCCGGCGTCCTCCTGTCCCAAGATCCTACAGCTAAGCCAGTCCTGCTACTTCCCCCAAAAAAATCTGCTGCTTTCCCTGGAGACCATGAGGACACCCCAGTGAAACAGTTGTCCCTCCTCAAACAGCCCCCTGCCCTGCCTCCTAAACCTATTGCCAGGATTGCCAGCCACTTAACTGGTAAGTAGGTGTTCCTGGACCCTCAGCACCACCATTTCCCTTATAGGATAAACCTCCCCCTACAGCAAGGTTCTCAGTGTCCTTCCTCCTTCTGTAACGCTGTTTGCACATGTTGTTGTGTGTACTGGCAATGTATCTGTGTTGTACCTAAGGCAGGGATCATGAAGTATTTTCAGACTCTACCTTCATCAGGGTTCCTTCGGGGCACTTCTCCTTTCAGCTGTAACTACCGAAGACCTCCACTGCATCTCCTAACCCTCCTTACTCTTATTCATCAAGACTTACCATCACTGCAAAAATTGCAGGATGTGCTTTGATGGGAAAGGAAGTAACAGGAAAATACTAGGATATCTTTAAATGCCTTTAATGAGAAAAGAGGTGAGGACTGAGGGGAAAGGGAGAGTTTTACTTTCTCCTTTTGCCCTTTGTTGCTTCTCCTCTCAACTGCCTTCTGGGCAGTTCCCCCTGCGCACACCCTGTATCTTTCCATATGTTTTTCTCTTACTTGGCCTCCTGATCCTTGCACAGGCCATTCTGTCCCATGGCTTCTCGCAGTTTTGCTTCCCTGCTCACACCACCTGCCCAACTGCTCCCCCTTTCCACCCCTCTGCTCTGACTACTCCTCTCCCACTGGTGAGTCCTGCTCTAGCTGGGCAGCTCCAGTTCCCAGTGACTAAGATTTTGATGTCCTGCAGTTCATGCTACAGTTTACCTCTCGCTGCGTGGCAGCTAGCAACAGTAGACAATACAGGCTCCTTTTTTGTGTTCCAGATGTTTTCAGAAGTGTCCAGGCTCTTTGGGATTCAAAGCTCTAGGTACACATGGAAGGAGGATTGGTGCGTCTCCTCTCTCCAGTGTCTCATTTAGACCACCAAAGCAAAGCATGGCTACGTTTACACAGACTAAAAAAGGTTCCCTGAACTCTTGTCTGCACCTTTTAAACAGTCAGCTCATCATTGCAGCTGCTGCCCAGGAGGCAGCACTTCCAAATTCTGAATTCAAGACAAAGTGTGGTCCATCTCTGTACTGGAGCAGCTACCGGTCTTCTCACCGGGTTGATCTTATTGTGTTGATGCTGCCCTGATCTTTTCAGGGGTGATGTGCAAAATGCTCAGTCCACATTGATACATTCTAGATGGATTTTTTTTCCCCCCTGACACGTTAATACCCATTTTATCTGGGTTAAGGTATATATCAGGAAAGAGCTCATTAGGAAAGAGCATGTTCTGGTTTTCTCTCATATCTCTACGTAGTCTCTTCATGTTTCTGTTCGGATGACCACACGTTTTTTGTTCTCTATAGTTTTGTTCATTTTATGTGAAATCTCTTTACTTTCTTGCCTGCCAAAATCTACACGTAATGGTTAAAATTGTGCCTTGTACTAGAAACTGAATGGGCAGTTCTGCAGCTTGGAAAGTCAGACAGCAGTATTAATGGCTTCAGGTGAGGACAAAACCAGCTTCCTATGATCTGCCATAACACTCTGTCCCAATTACAAGAAGCTGCTCAGAAATGAGGCCAACACAGAAGAAATAAAAGAAATGGGAATAGCATAGGAAGGAAAAAAGCTCAGGTACTAAATGTCCTTCATTCATAAGCCTTTCATGTGAAAGAGAGAGCAGAAAAATCAGAGAATGAGGGCTTCTGGTGTGGGGGTTTTTTTGCAGCTGGAAATTTTGTGTGAAATAGAATCAGGCTCAAGCTATCAGCTTAAGTCAGTTGCTTGATGGTGACGACTTTCCCATGAAAATGAAACAGAACTGTGACTCCGCTTACTTTGTGGTGGCCGTTAGTGGTCTCTCATCCAGTCCTAAGTACGTGCATATAGAGATACTCTTGTACCTACATATATAGAACCCTCAGGAAAAGGAACAGATATTCAGATTTAATCATAGGGCCCTAATTTAATAGGCTGTTATTCCTGGTAAAACTGAAAGCCTCATTTATACATACCTCATAAATAAAAGTATTCTTAAGGGTCTGTTTACTTCGGTGGTCTAAAGGGTATACGTGTTGTTTGGTGCCTTGTGTTCTCCACTGGTAATTATTTTAGCCTTGTATAATCTTTGGAAATGAGCAATCAATCCTAATGAAGCACCCTCATCAGTGAGAAGCAGAATTAATGCTATTCTTTTACTAATTACTCCAGAGACATCCTTAGCTTGTGTGTGAGAAAACAAGTAAAACCTGAATTCTGGTGTTCAAAGTGAAGGCTTTTCTGTTCTTGTTGCATACCCGTTTTTCTACTGAAGATTGTGTGAGAAGGCTCAAGGACCAATTAAGACATACTGGACATGGCTAATGGAGAGTGACAGTGGTTTAATGGTCTGGTAGCTCTGTTCAAGAAGACTGCAAGGGGAGATGTGATCTTGTGAAGGGTTCAGGTACACATCTGAAAACGCAGAAGTGCCTCAACTTCTGTCATTATATATGTATATGTACATATGTGTGTCTACTTAATAGAAACATGGTATATAGAAACATATTATAAAATCACTACAGGCATGGGTCAGTAGCAAAAAAAACCAAACCAAACCAAACAAAAAAAAAAGGTAAATATTTGAAATACAAAACTTGAGGAAAGAAAAGCTTCCTTTGAGTCTGACCACCTTCTTGCTGTGAACTTATCCCAAAGTTCTTCAATAGAGGCATGAAGACTGACTTGCGGGGTTTGGCAAAGGACTTAATACAGGTTTATAGAAATGGAAAAGGAACATTCCTGACCTCTGAAAGCATTTGTGAACCATCTCAAACATCTATCTGCCTCTGCCAAGACAAAGATTGGCCTTTCCCTCAGTAAGAAACGCACATAAAAGCAGGCCTAAAATAAACATGTAAGAGCACATTTAATTTTGGGGAGAATGAAAAGGAAAAATCTATTTTAAAGGTGGCAAGAAGAGGGAATTGCTTCTAGCAAATATAAATCACACAACCTTGTCGTGCTTCTTCTCAAGGCTGAGGCACTGTGGGGATGGGGCAGTGCAGGAATGGGGACAGAGCCAAGAGCAGACTGCAGAGCAGCCCCTGGGAGTGGTGCCAGCACCGCTGCAGAAGGTGCTCCGTACTTTGCCTCACGCCACCTCCCATGCTTCTGATGATGCTGTCTCCACAGGGAATGTCCGTATCACAACACTGGGTGTGGAAGTGCCCACGCAGCCCTAGAAGACAGGCAACCCTAGGAAAAAAACGTGATCCAAAAACTTTTGATACCATTGTTTCACTGCTCTGCATTTGCTGTTGGCCATTAACTTCCCAGTGAGCTTTTGTATAAGGTCATTCAGGTGGGAAGGAACCTCAGGAAGTCTCTAGTCAAACCTCCTACTCAAAGTAGGGTCAGCTATGGGATCACAGAATCACAGAATGTTGGGGAT